AAAAAAACGGTTTTCCAGGTAATCGACCCCGAGGACTCTGAATTTCATGCTCCCTAAGCTCCGCTACCCGCCCTTTTGGGAAGAAACCGTCTTTTTCTGGAGAATCGACGTCAATTTTGCGATCAAAGGGGAATCTTGAGAAATTTTTGGAGGAGCGAAGCCCCCCTCCTCAGGGGGTTACTTTCTGCCGTTCAGGGGGGTCAATTAGAACTCTTGAGGGTCACTTAAGTTATAAATGTGTTCTGCTCCTCAATTTGGATGCAATCAATTTGCGATTCGGAAAGGAGCCCCGATTTTTAAAATTGGGCCCCCCGTTTACACCCCAAGGGGGAAGAGAGAAGCTTCGGGACCATGAAATTTGGATTTCTCGGGGTCGATTAACTCGGAAACCATCTTTTTCGGGAGAATCTACGTCAATTTTGAGACCAAAGAGAAATTATGGAGGAAGGTACTGTCCCCCTCTTTAGGAGATTGTTTTTGGGCCTTGGATGGGCCGATTATGGATTTTTAGGAGTCAATTTCACGTGAAATACTCCGTGCTTTTCAATTCTGATGCGATTAATCCGCAATTCGGTCGGGAACCGTGACTTTTAGCATCGTGATCCCCCCCCCGTACCCCCCAAGGGGGGGTGGGGTAGGAGGATTTCGGGGCCACGAAATTCGTATTCCTTGGGGTCAATTCCCTATTTAACCCCGCGATCCCCGACTTCGTACGACTTAAAACAACCGAGAAAAAGGCCTGGTACGGGTGGTCTGAAACACCCTGTATGTGTGACCGCAAAAATTTACCGGAATCAAACTAAAATATTATGTACGTTGGTCTTGACGTGTAAAAAGGCGTCCTCAAGAGTTTCAAATTCTCCTTTAAAGAATTGCGCCCCCTTATACGGTGCTGTCTGGTTTCGTTTCCCAAAATGATGCTGCTGATAAGGCAATGTAGATTTTGAGTTGCGATCGTTGCCAAAGATCTTGAAATAACCAACCGCTTTTATTGTGCGCGTATTTTTGAATCTATCTTAATACGAGAATGCGATGTTGCCATTTTTTATCATTGTTGAATTGCAAAATTTGGCCAAAAAACTCCAATTTCTCGATTTTTAAAAAAATGTGTAGGTTCATTCTGCATCAAATGTAACAAATGTCAAGGCTTCAGTAGATAGTAATATGACGATGTACTTGAACAATAAGCCTGGATTGTTTTCGATCAAATCAAGAAATTGGACTTCTCTAGCCGAATTATGGAATTCAAAAATACGAAAATATGGCAACCTCGCATATGTACTCAGATTAAGGTAGATTCTAAATTACGCAGACAATGTAAAACTTTTAGTTTTTCCATGATTTTTGGTGATAATCTCACCTCAAAATCTACATTTCCCCATGAGGGATCATCGTTATGGGATCCGAAACTAGGCAGCACCGTTTCAAAGGGCGCAAATCTTTAACGGAGGGTTTATAACTTTCTAGAACGCCTAAAACACACGCGTAACACGTATACGTTAATGGTACACGTCAAGGACCTAAATGCAAAAAATTTAAAGGTATTATTACTAGCGATGGGTTCCGGTGGTCACACATTGACCTCTGGCACCACACTGCCCCACTACCTAACGATTTTGCGGTTTCGCTTTTTCAATCGAGAGACCTTCCCTGAGATTTTGATTTAAAAAAAACAAACAAAGAACACAAAAAACAAAAAAACAGAAAAAAAATCGAGCTGTCATCAGAGACATTAACACGAACCGTGTATGAAGTTAATGCTATACCCGTACACTGCTGTTCAAGTTTCAAAATGTGAGCTAAATCCAAGAAAAAGAATGAAGCAATCACCAAAATAAAAAAAACAAACGTACTAACCTGTAATTAGTAAGAACATGAAGGAAACTAGAAGATTTTTAAGTTTCATGAGTCTTTCGTCTCCTCGAGAATGGAATTTTTAAATAGTGTCCACAGTAATTAAATCCATATTATAGATTGTGCAATAAAATACAACAAGAAAATATTGAAATCCTTCGCGTCCTAGTTTCTACTCTAACTGAAAACTTTATTTTCCCGTCAGTTTCCATCGAATGACACGCATGACCATAACCTTCATGAGATCATAATATTTTAGTACATGAGTGCAACATTGTTTTATTTTACAATACAAAACATAACAATGTCCAAATTACTTATCCTGTAGTAAGACTCAGTGACGTTAGTCGACCGAGATTCTCCGTTCCGACCACTGAAATTAATGTACTGAGAAATAGAGGTCATCAGTCTCGGTCCAAAATAACAAGAACCGTAAATATTGGTCGCGTCACCCTCTGGAAAAGGAAAAATTAAAACATCATCGCAACTAATAGGAGTCTCAATTTGAAGACAGTTGAAGAATTTGAGTGCGTTTTAAATGAAATTAAGACAAAACATCCGTTTGTTGGCTACCGGCACAACTGGGGCAACTTGAAGGCTCGAGGCATATACATTACCTGAAAGCGACGGATTTTGCTGGTACAGGAAGTAGATCCAGTGGGAGTGTTGAAGAGGCGCCGCAGACGGTTAAAAAGAAGACAGTATACAGTGAAGGCTTCAAATTACATTTGGTAAGAATATAACATTTTGTTCGGAAAGGGATACGTATGTCGCAGGCAATCCGTAATCGTCTGCAATCTGCATGCGGTTTGCGAATTATGCCCAGGCAATTTGCGAACCGGAAAATTGCCTAGGCGTTTTGCAAGCCGCAAGTGATGAACAAAAAATGTAAAATATCACGGTAAAGAAACAAAGGAAACAGTCATAAGTTTACCTTGTTGTGGAGAATTTTCAGTAGGTAGAGTTTTGAAATGAAGCAGCAGCTACACCTGCTTGGTTGGTATAGAAGAAGGTAACTCTAGACGAAGAGATCCAGTGCTCTTGCTCTAATATACCTCAGCTGGACCTCAGCTTGGATGTTTGAACCAATTCCAGACTGCCAGGATAGCTCGACGCCTTCCAAGTAGGGGTGTCGATTATCCTCAAATTTTTAATATTTTATGGTTAATGTTTTATGTTCTCAGAAATCGTTGGATTTTACCGTTATTACCATTTTTCGACCTCATTTCTGGCAGGGCCGGATTTACCTATAGGGCACTGGGGCACTTGCCCATAGCGGCAAATTTTGAGAGGCGGCAAATTTTGGCACTGGATTAATTGAAAGTTAAAGCGAGAAAAAAGGAAAAAATGGAGACAGAGACGGAGCGAAGTGAAAAGATGAGCGGCAAAATGTATGAAGGAAGGGAGTTGACGCTTGACGGGAGCGGCAAAGCTGCCGCCCCTTAGGTCCGGCCTTGAGCGCTAGGATGATCGTTCGTTGGAGTGATACTAAACAACACG